CTTACGATCGCTGATATTGAGTGCCCAAGATGAGTGACGCTTTGCGAAGCTTTGTGAAACAAAAAATTATAGTCGACTGTACCAAGACGTTTTCAACTACTATAGTGAACAGCCACAAACATATACGATCCTAAACTATTAACGTTGCCTAGAGTCCGCGCTTCACAAGTAAGTGAGCGTTCATATGAACTTTCTACACCACTTTTTTTCGCTCCCATATTTTTCATGCTACTCGCAGAAAACTTCTCATTACAGGTGGAGCGCTCCCTTACTCCAGACTTCGATTTGTGACGAGGGTTTACCTGAATCTCCCAGTCCCTTGCCATGATGCCACCTCTGCTCCAGACAGAACCGCTTAATGATGGCTCTTCTCTCGTCAGACGAAGCCATTTCCTTGTCGAAAAAGCATCTCCTATGAGATCAGTAAAGATAGTACTATAGCGTCATCACCAAACAAAATACTGTATTTCGGAAATACGTACCGTATAGTATCCAGTCGTCGATGGTTACTGTAGGGCGGTACCAATTGAAATTCACGTAGTTCGTAGCCACGAGTCTCATCTACACGTGATCCAGCAAGTGGCGGTAGAATGTGATCCTGGCCTTCAACGAAGAAAAGCGTCAGCAACACAACGGCAACCCACAGCATTTGGTTAATGTCGACGTGGAAGCTCTACGACTTTTCTGGTCCACGTGGCTGGTCTTCCACCCGACGTTCCACGTTGGAGGACCAGCCGCATTTTATTGGATACAACTGGAAGTGCCGGGTTCAGTGTTCCTTATCCTTTTCAAATTGCACTTTCTCCCCTCCCTTTCATTTTATGGTACCTTCTTTAAATTCTTCCATTTGGAAGATTGCAGTTGTTCCCCAATCTGAACATTGCCTGTCAAACAAGACTGACAATCTTGTCACCTTCAAGCAATCGCAGAGTTTACAACACTGTTCTCCACGATTATGAATCGTCTGTGACAGGCAGATACAGTTCATATCTCGAAGTCTGACTAGACATGTCGCTG